GAGTTCACTACAACTATCACACCTGAAACCGTTTCTCCCACAATATATGAAACTAGTACAATCTCAACATATATGACTCCTGAAGTAACTAGAGCATCTACAACTCCTGAAGCAAGTACCTCTACAACTCCTGAAGCAACCGCATCTACAACTCCTGGAGCAAGTACATCTACAACTCCTGAAGAAACCACATCTGTAACTCCTGAAGCAACTCCATCTACAACTCCTGAAGAAACCACATCTGTAACCCCAGAAGCAAGTATACCTACAACTCCTGAAGCAACAACAGTAACTCCTGAAGTAACCACCACACCCACAAGTAAAACGACCAAGACTTCGACAGCTGAAACCACCACAGAAGCCATTCCTTTAGAACCATCCACCTCCACCACAGTTCCAGAGGCTCCCGCACCCCCGCCCGTTGCAGAGGCTGACCTGAGCGAAGCCATATTACAAGTATCCCAGACAAACGAAGGAGTGGATTGTGACAACACCTCAAGTGAGATCAGACAGGTAAAATATTTTGCTTATTGTTTCTACTTATTGCAAATATTAATGAAACATTGGCTACTGCCCTTCTTCGATTCACGTTGATTCACTGTTCAAAAATTCCAGAGTGTTGAAATCATCAATGAAGTTGATAAAGATGATCTCCTGGAGGCTCTTCATAGGTAAACGTACAGTTAACCTTCACAGTTCTAAATACAAATCCCTCATCATTACCCATTTGGAGAAGTTCATTACTTTACAGCAGTCATCTTGACTGTTATAATTTTTCTGTTTCTGTATTAAACTCTGAATGCGTTATATTTTAAATTACTTCCAACAAACGTTTTATTTTATCTGACAGACTGGCGGAGGGCGAGAAGAGTCATGGCGTCATAGAAACTATCTTTTCTCAGAATTCTTCGAGCTCTGATAATTCTTCTTGGTACTATATGGATCAAAACGATATCGTCTGGATGGATAAGGAGGTAGGCACTATCATTTTTTGGATAGTGCCACAGTAACTACTTATTCAAAGAGCTAATTTTCACAAAATTTTAGAAGGGTAACCAATATATCAGAAAACTACAGCTAAGGCAGATATGTAAACTAATTAGGAGGGAATCTCTTACTTATAGTGAGAAATCTTGAAAACTTCGTTTGATAAGTTGCCAGTGTCAGAATTGTAAAGTACAGTAAATATTGAAACTGTAATATTTCAGAAAATGAACGTTAACGAGACTGTAGCTCAGTAAATCCTAAGAAATATAAAATATCTGGATGCATATGAAAATTGTAAACCTGTTTTCATAGGTACGGAATACCTCTGATACCGTATAGTGTCAAGCTTCAGCTGATAATTGCCACAACTCTTTCCAGGAAAAGTTCCAGAGTGATATTCACATTGGATTTGGTCTGCTGATCGTCTTTCCCTTAATCATGCTGGACGGGCAAATTGCGTTTGTGGTTTTCATAAGAACCTTCATCGACGAGCCTGCTAACCCTATCGTCCAGGTGAGTCACCTCAGCTCACTGAAAAGAGAGAAAGACATCTCGTGAGCAAAGACCTTCCAGATCTTGTACATCTGTAACTAGCGAGTAATAAAAGTTTATATGTAAAACCTTTATCCGCAGATATACCAAAGCTTTAGCGATCGGAGTGCCTGTGGTTGCATAGAAGGCGAAGAGAGTGATAATACTACTCATGAACATAACGCTGCCACTGTTATTCAGCATTTTACTTCAAAGTGAGTTCCATATGTTGTATTTTGTGCGAGTTTATTGACAAAGGCAATTCCTTGATCTGTGTAATCGATTGATATCTGTTTTTCATATTAGTCCATGCGTTTGTATCTCCCTCTGTCGCACTCTCAGTCTAACTTCCCCTTTCTGTACTCATATAAATGTACACATACTTACATAGATATATGTCTGCAATGTCATGTATATCTCTTTCTCCATTTATCCACAAATCTACCTACATGTGCGTGTGTGTGCATGCACTGTCTGTAGGAGCATATATAATTTCTCTTTCATTTAAAAAAATCGTTGCAATTGGTTTCCCTTCGTGCTCATTTGCAATCGTCTTCACCTACCAGCTCCAGCTACAGTCATCGAGAGATAGACATAGAGAGCATAACGGACTACGTGGAGATGCTGTTCGCTGTGCCGGAGCATCAGCGGGAAGTGGTGGAGTTAGTGATTGTAAATGAGATTGAAGGAGACGATTGTGTAAGTGGAGAAACGAGACGTATTTTTTCTCTTAGCTTCACGAAAAGCATATCACACGGTTAGGTGGACATCTAATATAGTTCTTTTATTTTTTCTGAATTGAGCAAGGAATTTTTAGATTCTCGCAGTTGTAAGATAGGGAATGTGTGAGAGCAAAGGAAAAAATGAAAAACAAAGAAAAGAAAAAGAAAAGAGAATAATGGGAAGTTATTTATGATATATATATATATATATATATATATATATATATATATATATATATATGTTGTGTGTGTGTGTGTGTGTGTGTGTGTGTGTGTGTGTGTGTGTGTGTGTGTGTGTGTGTGTGTATGTGTGTGTGTGTGTGTATGCCTTTACTTCCTGCACTTCCAGGAGACAACAACGGCCACGACAGCATCAACCGCAGAGTCTACAACACCAACTTTCGAGTCTTCCATGTCCGCTTCTACTACTGAGGCTATATCAACTACTGAGCCTAGCCAGTCTAGCACAGTAGTTTCAACAACGGAGGCTCTAACAACCACTGAGTCAACAACCCCAACCTCAACAAGTACTGAATCTACTGCTGAAACTATGTTAACCACAACCACTCCTACATTGGTACCTACATCAATTCCCACGAGTACGGAATCTACTCCTGTCATATCGACCACTACATCTACCACAGTAGTTTCCACAACGGAGACTTTAACAAGCAGTGAACCAACCACATCGACTTTGGAGACAGTGTCAGTTTCAACAACAGAAACTACCACAAGATCTTCAACTACAAATTTACCCACTGTATTTTCTACAACATCAAAAGCGCCTGAAACTAGCACACCTACAATTACAGTTTCCACAACTGAACCAATTCAGTCTTCGACATCTGAAGCAACTACAACAGAATTCGTCACTACAGAACCTTCAACTTCTATCACAGTCGCCGATGTGCCTGAAATTCCACCCGCGCCAGACACCGAAGAGGACGGCAGCATCTTGCAGATATCCCAGATTAATGAAGCTGAAGATTGCGACAACACTTCATCTGAGTTCATACAGGTAAATGCCTCTCATAGATTTTCTTTGCTGACATGAAGCAAGTCTTGCCCTAGTCAATTTGTATTTCTATTTAGTTTTTATTATCATTGCATTTATATATGTATATGATATATATTATATATATATATATATATATATATATATATATATATATATATATATATATATATATATATATATATATATATATATATATATATATATATATATATATATATATATATGTGCACACACATATTCATGTAAATTGATGTATATATACAATGTTTATGTATATATATATATATATATATATATATATATATATATATATATATATATATATATATATATATATATATATATATATATATGTATATGCATAAATATATATGTATATATATTTATACATATATATGTATACACATATTTATGAATATATCAAAATGATTATATATATTCATGTATATATCAATATATATATATGTACATATATACATATAAATATATATAAATATAATATATAATTATATTGTGTGTATACCTATGCACATATATATACACATACATATATATATATATATATACGGACACACACACACACACATACACACGCGCACACGCACACGCACACACACACACGCATATATATATATATATATATATATATATATATATATATATATATATATATATATATATAAAGATTCATATATTCATACATAGATTCATATGTATATAGATAATATGATATAATGCATATATTTATATATTCATCAATATATATATTTTTTCCAGAGTGTAGAGATCGATAACAAAATTGATGAGAATGAAATTGAGGAAACTCTTCACAGGTAATCTTACAGCATATATTTATCGGATGAGATACCAGTACAATAACCAATTCCATTAATTCTTGCCATACTGCCCTCAAGATTTTTTCCCCTTTTGAACCGAAGAAATCCTTTTCCTCCATAAGTATGTGTGGATATATTCCATGACCTAATTTGGTCCCGTCCTCTGAACTGCATCATTCACAACTGACAGATTGAGGGAGGCTGAGAAAGGCCACTGCGTCCTGGAAACTATCTCTTCCCAGAATTCCTCTACCTCTGATAACTCCTCTTGGTACTATGTGGACCAACACGATATCGTCTGGATGGCCAGAGAGGTAGTCACTGAAAGAGATAACCATACAACTTTCGTTAAATTTGACTAGATATGAGTAGCCGTTAATTCAGAAAACTGTAAACTAATCAGCTGATATGTTAGATATGAAAGATAGCTTCGTTTGTTAAGTGCCATTACTCTTTCCAGGAGAGGTTCCAGAGCGATGTTCACATTGGCTTTGGCCTGTTGGTAGTCCTTCCCTTGCTCGCACTGGATGGTGAGATTCAGTATGTTGTTCTGGTGAGAACCTTCGTTGACGAGCCTGCCAGCCCCATCGTGCAAGTGAGTAATCATATATTACAGTATATCGCGTATATGTACTTTTATAAATGGACATAATAAACAAATGAAATTAGAACTTTAAAGCAGACCAGATAGTCTATGAAACGTTCATCCTCAGATATATCAAAGCTTTCACGATCGAAGTCTCTGTGGCTGCATAGAGGGCGAAGCAAGTGAAAATGCCACCCATGAACATGGCGTACTCAGCGTTATCCAGCATTTTACTTCCAAGTGAGTTCTGGTCATTACTCCTTTGCTAACAGATATCCATTCTTCTTCTAATTCATTTGCATGTGCGTTGGAGGTTTCTC